AAGGAGGTGTGGTGAGGGATCAGCGAGTCGTAGTAGTAGTCATCGTTATTAGTTGCCGCTGCTGCCACCGTACTGCTACAACACATGAAGCTTTCATCTGCTGCTGGCGGGGCATTTCCAAGAGCATCCATGAAGGCCAGATTGTTGCTGTCCCCGAGTGTGGTGGTGAAACAAGCTGCTGCTGCGGTGGCTGCCTGACCATCTCCCTGCCGCTGCAAGGGTGTGTGAACCGGAGGCGGCGGCGGCCACCCATAAAAGCCGGCACCGCAGCAGGTGCAAGGTGCGGTCTCTAGCCCTAAATGGTCCGGCGGCTCGAAGGGGAACCATGCAGCTGGATCCTGCAGCATCGGGAGGATTGAGGTCCATTCCCACGGGCTCACACGAACATGAGTCTTCTTCATCACATCCCGACTTCATCATTGCAGCTTCATCACCTGCTGCCTCCTCCTCCTTAAGGGAGGCGGCGGTAGTGGTAGAAGAGCGGGATTTGGGGGTGGAATTGACTCTGGCAAATCTCTTCCGCCTGCTGCTCCAGAAATTCTTGACGTCGTTGTCGGTTCTCCTGGGCAAGTAGGTGGCTATTTTGGCCCATTTGTTCCCGAACTGTCCCTGAAGGTCAATGACAATCCTCTCCTCCTTGGTGGAGAACTTGAGGCCGGTTTTCAAGTTGGGGCGGAGGTTGTTGATCCAGCGGAGGAGGCAGGACTTGCCGGTGCGTTGAAGGAGGCCTTTGGATCGAATGGAGCTCCAGTGCCTGGGGCCGTACTGCCTGACGTGCTGGACAAGCACCTCATTTTCCTCCGCTTTCCATGGCCCTTGCTTTATCTCCAACAACTCATTCCCTCCTTCCATGCCTTCTCCAGTCATCATGCAATATAATACCTGCTCCCTACATACTGTATAATATATAATATATATACCTTCTCCACTCTTTATGTGTGTTTCTTTATGATCCGAAGGAGATCTTTAGAAATAAGAGGAACTCATTAATATAAGGGAAAACTGTCAATTGCGCCCTCCTACTATGCGCGATCCGTCAATGGAGTCCCCGCACTTTGGAAACCCTCAATTGAATCCACCAACAATGAAAATCCTGTCAATTAGGTCTACATAATCGGATGCTTCCCGGTTAGCCCGTTGCTCGCTCACGTGGACATCGTACATTGAGGGTTCCGTTGCTGACATGGATTAAAAATTTCCACATCACGTGACCTCTCTAGCCATTACCTTTGCCGGCCAGCTTCCATAGCCGCCGCCTCCGGAGTCCGGCCTCTACCTTCACCTCAACCACCCCTTCCGCCATACAAACGTCCTCCGACCACCACCTCCATCCCTTCGTCTCCTCCATTGAAACGAACTCCAGCCGCGCCGACTTCCGTAGCAACCACCTCCGCCGCCCTTACCACCATACCAACCGCCTCGATCCGGCTTCCACCTCCATGGTCTCCACCTTCATCTTTTCTATTGGAAGTTGGAACGACCTCCAACCACCCCAGCCTCCATAGCTACCACCACCACCTCCACCATAGATCTGTAGTCTGTGCAGGAGGGAACTGAGGAGATGGAGTTGCAGATGCACAGGAGAAATAGAAAAGGGAAAGAAAAATTAAAAGCATCGAAAGAAAGAAACGAACAAGGGGGGTGCTGGGGACTGGGAAATTACAGGTGAAGAGTAGCGGACCAGGAAGAAAGAAGAAAGAGAGAAAAAAAGAGAATGTAGGAAGAGAAAAAAGAAAATTGAAAAAGGAAAGGGAAAACTGTCAATTGATGTGGAAATTTTTAATCCATGTCAGCAACGGAACCCTCAATGTACGATGTCCACGTGAGCGAGCAACGGGCTAACCGGGAAGCATCCGGTTATGTAAACCTAATTGACAGGATTTCCATTGTTGGCGGGTTCAATTGAGGGTTTCCAAAGTACGGGGACTCCATTGACGGATCGCGCATAGTAGGAGGGCGCAATTGACAGTTTTCCCTTAATATAATATCTTCATTCAAAGAAGTGTAAAGTTGAAAACTACAACTAAATTTCTGCAACAACCAATCAGCCATGCCATGCATTACATGTAAAAAATATGATACGTAGTAAGTTCCTAAATAAAAAACGAGGTGAATGTCAAATGAGTACATTAAGTTGTACGCAATGAAGTAAAAAGTACATCATATTGTAATTGAGATTCAGAAGTACATAAGTTCGGGAAAATATTGCTGATTCAATACACATTTGAATTTAGATGTTAATATGTCTCACTTAATCACCCAATTAGTAATCGTTTGTGTGTTTTTAAATGATTAGTACACATTGGAATTTAAACGTTAATGTCTCACTAATCACTTAATTAAGATGTTAGTGATATGACAAAATCAAAACCACACATCCACTTACTATACATTATTATAAACACACAAATCACTTTCCAACTCTCACTTTAGGTAAGCCATGGAACACCACGTCCAACTCCACTTTTAAAAACACATAAACGATTACTAATTGGGATTAGATATAAATGGGGATAAAGATGATGCCGACTTAAATTCCACCATTTACCACAAATAGTATACTAATAACCATATCAACATTTTTAGAGTTAAATTGAATTTGTACTTGTTTAACCCTGCTTTTCCGAGTTTATGTACTTGTGAATCTCAGTTGCAATATAATTTGCTCTTTACTCCATTGCATACAACTTAATGTACTCATTTGACACTTTCCTGAATAAAAACTAAGCAGACTACATATTTTTTTTTTCCTTTTTCTAGCCGAATAAACATATCAATTTATTTTATTTATACAAAATCATATTCTGATAGATGTATCAATTTTTATACAGAAATACCCAACAAATAAATAATAAAAGTCTTAAAAAAATTTATTAAAACTTTTAATTTTGTATTTGAGTATTGTTTTCTATATTCATTAAGAATCTTTTATCCAAAAACTTTGAGTACTTGGAATTTTAATTTCTTGTTTGACTTGTTTCTCATTTCAAATTAGTGACTTATTGATTATATTTACATTTCGAGATGGATTAATTAGAATATACGAGATAAAATATGAATTGTTTCTAACTATCTTGATAATGTAAAAAAAGTTTCAATTCCATCATTTCCAATGGAGCCAACGATTCATTATTTTTTGGCTTGAGATTATGATGGAATAAAGCAAAATGGCTCACTAAACTGTTTGCGCTTCTTTGTAATGAAGCAACAGTCAGTCCATGCAATTTTGGACGCGATTTTCACTATGGGTCATCCGGAAACAGTCTCTCTGTGCTTTAGTATAGGGTAGGGGTAAGACTGCGTACATCCGACCCCCCCTTACCCCACCGTATGTGGGAGCCTTTGCGGCACTGGGGTAAATGAAAATGATGAAATGATGATGATATTTTTAAAAATCTTATAATTCTTAATATTTATAAATATACCTCTTAATTTTTACTCCCTCCTTCCATGAAATTCTTCTCGTTTTTCTTTTTGGGGCGGCCCAAAAAATTCTTTTCATTTCCCCTTTAGAAAGTTTTGTGTGGCTTAATTCATTTAGTTTTTTCTTACTATAAATTTCCACTTTATTTCTACTTTCTTAAATTTCGATCCTAATCAAACCGGGAAGAATTTTGCGGGACCTGAATACTATTTATAAATAAACTTCATAACTTTTAATATTTAATCTTTATAAACATATCCCTATATTCGTATCATACTGTTTTTTGGTGTTTTGTCTTATCCCAATACTCGTTTCCGTTTCCAAGTTCCCGTATGCTACATAGTGATGAAATGACCCGACGCACTAATAAAGCCTAATAATTAATAATTTAAGGGAAATTTACTATTAACCCCCTCAGGTTATGTCATAATTATTAATGCAATCTTGCGTTTTCAAAAATCAATTAGTTACCCCTGAGTTTGGATCATTCTCATTCTTTGCCCCTCACGTTAATATTTGTTAAATTTAAATTTAATATAATTCTTAAATTCAATGAAAAATGTCTATAAAATTAATTTTAAATGTAAAACACAAATTATTATCATAGTTATAAGTCATTGCTGTTGATTGTTATTTTTCTACTTAGCTACTCCATCGTGGAATAAATATTATTGAGAGTAATTATGTGAAAAATACTCACGAGTAAGATATAAAAATATCATGAATTTTTAATATTTTTATTTTAAAATATTAATTATCATTTAATCTTATAAAACTAATAAATTTTTTACATTCGGAAAAACTTTTGTGAAGATAAAATCATCACAAATTAGTAACAGAGTTAATAACAAATTTAAATAAATTAAAATCTATGATATTTGAGGTCATAGATTGATAGCTTTGAATTATTAGAATAATTAGAATAATCAAAATCATAACACATTTTGACTTTTAGGTCCCTTATTGATACTAAACCTATCTTTTAGGTCATGGAATGATAAAAAAATCTTGGTATTTCTTCTTTGCTACACACGAAAGAAATGCCATTACGATTAATTCAACCGGATGGGTTACAAATAAGACTTTTATATTTATAAAGAAGAAGTGCCTAAAATTTTGATCACATTTTAGAAACAATTATTTTTATGCATCCCATGAATATTACTCGTGACTCTTCCCCTTAACTACTTTCACTAATAGTTACTCCACGATCGAGTAGTACGTTAAGTAGAAAACCAACGATCATCAACAATGACATATAATTATGATAATAAATTTTTATTATATTTTAAAATTAATTTTATGTACAACTCTCATTGAACTTAAGAGGTATATTAAGTTTAATTTAACAAATATTAACGTGAGAGGGTATATAGTGAGAATGATCAAAACATAAGGGGTAACTAATTGATTTTTGAAAATGAAAGGAAACATTAATAATTAATAATTATGATATAGCATCAGGGGCTAATAATAATTTTCCCCTAATTTAATAGGGAGTAATTCAAAACATAAAAAACACAAAAACTTACGAAGTAAATAAAAAAGAAAACATAAAACTGATACAAGTCTGCAGGGAGAAAAAGAGGCTACGACTACGTTTCGCGCCCTGCTCCGCGTAGCCGTTCGCCGGCTCCCTGCTCCGCCACTTCTCCAGTGGCCTAGTCCGCCGCCTCCTACATCCGCCAACCTCCGCCTGCCGCCCGGGGTTGCCCACTGTCTGCCTGCTCAGCCGCTAGGACGCTGATCAAGTGACCAACCTGACAGGCGACCGCCACTGCCCTAGGTAAGTTATTTATTTACTTTTTATTTTAATGTAATTGTTTTAATTATATAAATTTCTAATATATTCATCTAATATTTTGAATTTTTTGTTTTACTAATATGATTTTATAAAACGTGGATGTGTTTTTTTGGTTTTTGAATAGGTGAGTTAATTGTGTGATTTCATTTGTGGAATTGAAATTAGGGATTGTGAATTACTCCATACTGAATTTCTGAACATATTATTGTATTAATATGAATTATGTGATTGAAAATAATATATTGATTATTTTATTAACTATTTTTAATTTAAATAGGTATAGCTACACAATCTACTTCTACAAAGGAAAATAAACATTCAATTCATTTTTCAAACCTACTACAACTCCATAAAACAAAACAAGAGTTAATGACTTGATTGATACTCCAAATATTTCATATTTTCAAGAGGAATTTGTTTCTAATGCGATTCAAATTGCGCGGGACCCGGGAAAACGGGAATAAATAAATCATTGGCCGTTAGATACTAATGATTCATTTTTGCACTCCTCAATCTAATTGTCATGGGATTTTAATTGATCAAAAATATTTGCTTTATGTGAGGTTGAACATATTTTGAAGTAGTACACAATGTTATTGTGTAATGATTATGATATTTGTTGACTTTTAATGATTATGCTGTTATGTGTAGTATTTTTTATTACATTATTTGTACTCTTTTATGTACATTTGTGTAAAAATCTGAGGCTTACGCCTCATTATGCAATAGGCAATGCGACAATGCCAAGAAACCGCCTCAAATACGCAATAACATTGTGTACTACAAATTATTATTATGAATTTTAATGGGTTTAAATCATTATGTTCAAACAGTTCACTTGTTTCATTTGTAAATATTAGGGCTGTTTAGGCGGGAACTTGCAGTATGTGTTATTTTCTTTTTAGGTAAATAAACACTACGTAAATGTTAACCATAAGCCTCAGGGCTATGCTTGAGCTGATGGTTGAATATTATACTACATATGTAATTAAAAACAGCTTTAGTGACTAGTGGAGTCATTTGATGAATAATTTGTTGTTCGAATTCAAACAATGAAAAATATTCTTTGGTAATTTAGTTAATTTATGCAAATACAAGTATATTCTTCTTGCATTAATGCTTAGACATTGCCCTTAAGGCTATGTTTAGCATGACCATTCTTTTGATATATATATATAGTCCTAAAGATATCAAGTTATCAACAGACTTCATCAATTATAAATGTTACCAGAAATGTTTGTTGGTTGCAGATAGCTTTGGCGCATTACAGATTTTGAGTTAATCATCAATATAAGCACTACAAATATGGGAACTCGAAAGTTGTTGTGGAGTACAACTAATTACATTTTTACTGGGAGCCTCATTGGCATCACTCTATCAGATCGTTATGCCAGTGTAGTTTCTGTTAAAGGCATTTCTATGTCTCCAACGTTTAATCCTCATGGAGATGGCCCATTGACTAGTAATATACATTCATACTTTTTTGTCCTCTGCGTATCCCATGTTATGGATTGTTATTCACCATCTATCACCTCATCTTCTAGGGGACCATGTTTTATTGGAGAAGTTTTGCCTTGAAAAGTACAAGTTTTCTCAAGGTGATGTCGTGGTCTTTAGGTAGTTGATCATTACTCAAATTTCACTACATATATGTATGAAGATGTATCTTGTCTGTTCACTTGTGTAGCTACATGATCGCTTGTACAAATCATGTTCATTTCACCAGAGCTTGAATGAATGAACTGAGGATCGAACTTTTAAAGTTGTTATTGTTTGGCTCGGAAAAAAGTCAATGCAAAAAAGGAAAAAGAATATGTATTCTGCTTAGTTTTTTATTTAGGAACTTGCTATCACATTTTTTACAAATGGTCTTACATATATGATATACCCATTACCTTGCTGAGCTTCAACATCAGTTCTTTGACCAATTTAATTGTTGTTCACTAGTCTAGAAGTGAAATTAGTTTCTTATGATATGAAAATAGTCGTTTTTTGTCCCATGACTGTTGGATCATTTTCACTTTTGGTCTCTGATTTCAAAGTTTTGGCGCACTAACTATGCATTTCTTGCCACTTCAGTCATGGTCTTTTTTGAGGCGAAAAATCAATTGGAAATAGTATGAGAATTAGCCAGGCAAGAGGTTGGAAGGACCAAAAGTGAGGGAAAGGGATTATAGGGACACGAAGTGAAAATGACACAACAGTAGTGGGTCAAAAAATGGAATATTATCTTTTTTTTATATAATGCATAGCTGATTGGTTGTTGCAGAAAATTTAGTATGTAGCTTTTAACTTTACACTTCTTTGAATGAAGAAATTATATTAATGAGGTTTTCCTCTTATTTGTAAAGATCTCCTTCCGATCATAAAGAAAAACACATAAAGAGGATAATAGGGCTACCTGGTGACTGGATCAGTACACAACAGGATGATTATAATGATGCAGTGAGGATACCAGAAGGGCATTGCTGGGTCGAAGGTGACAATGCAGCTTGGAGCTGTGACTCAAGATCTTACGGCCCTGTAAGTTGCTACATAGCTAGTTTGTGTCTGCTTATGTCCTAACCAATGTTCTAAAAGTCGCTAGGCGTTAGTCGGGCGCTAGGCGTTAGTCGGGCGCCAGCCCAGCGCCTAGGCGGCTAGGCGGGCGCCTAGTCGGGGACTACTCGGAACATAGAAATTGCATTTTTATCTATATTTTTGCATAAATATGAGAAGTAATATTGTATTCTTGTGTGAATAAAATACATATATACACGCACATACATTAACAAACATGAATGATAGAATTTTCACATTTAATCATACGTAGTATATGATAACTAAACATTTAACGTCATTATGTTATATATATAAATAATAATAAAATTTAGGTATATATACTAACATATATAGTCTTTATCTTAATTTACAACTTCATTTCTTTATATCCGTGGCTAAAGTTAAAGTGCATATATCGCTTAGAAAATTAAAATTGAAAAGTAAAGTAATGTTCGACGAATCTAGACAGCCTAGGCGGCTGATTAGGCGCTCTGGGCGGGCAACTAGGCGCTGTATGCGGCTGACTAATTCACATAGATGTCAAACCAATTAATCGGAGCGCCTAGACGAAAATCGGGGCGCCCGACCACCGCCTAGTGCCTAGGCGGGGACTAGTCAGACGCCTAGATCGAATGACTCATGCATAGCATGTGAATTTAGTATATTTTTGGATAGGTAATTTTTGTTGAATAAGTACAACATTCTTGTACAGGTCCCATTGGGTTTGATTTGTGGAAGGGTCACACACGTTATCTGGCCACCTCAAAGATTTGGTAGTATACAAAGGGAACTCCCTCAAAGCATTTCTTCGTGATTTTTTTTTCTTTTCTTTTTTCATTACTATTAATATTGTCATTCTATATAGTTGTTGATTGAAATACTCCAATTTCATTTTGCCATACCAAGAGATACTCGAATTTTGTAATCTGCATGATGATGTGTTCTTTATCCGTATAATTATAATAACAAGAAATATTTGGGTTTATATACATCGACTTTTTGCCACTTTTAGTCCCCGACTATTGAATGAGTGACACTTTTGGTACTCAACTTTTATTATTTCTATTTTTAGTCCTCGACTATTGTGCGAGAGACACTTTTGTCATCGACTTCCAAATTCCCACGTTTAGTCCTCTAGTATTATCAAATCGACATTTTTAGTCCTTCCACTATGATTTTGACACAATAAGTGAAGGTTAAAAATGTCACTCTTGAAATAGTTGAAGGACCAAAAGTGTCACTTTTACAAAAGTCGGAGAACTAAATATGAAATTTTTTAAAGACGAGTACTAAAAGTAACATTATAACCTAAATAAATGGGATTGATGAGTAGTTCTATATTTCTTTTTGTTTTTATAGTGGATTGTATCGCATTTTTTCGAACCACTCTTTCGCTTAAACCCTTCGAGTTAAGCTATCCATATTTAGAAAATAAAATATGATGTTTGACTGATGATAAAGAAAATTGATCCTTGTCAACACTCAAGTTAGTTTTAGAAAATAAATCTTACAGAAACTACATTAAAACCGCTACAAAACCTGCAAAAAATAATTCAAATTTCATAAACTATTGATATATAAAGTAAAAGATTAAGAGTGTTTTAAGTTGACCAAGTGAATAGTAAATGTATCTTACAATTTGGGACTGAGGGAGTATATGCTTTTTAATCCTCATAAATTATAATGATTACTCCTCTACTACTAAATAATCAACATATTCTTTTTAGTTTTTACCCAATCTCAAAATTATTGTTCATTACTTTTTATGAATAACAACACGTGGTTCACAATGCTTCTCTCTTCTGCGTTCAAAAGGTTGAATCGCCAACCCCAAGGGTCCCCCACCCTGACCCGACTGGATGGTGATGCTTCTCTCTTCTGCTACATATTTGAAGGAGTAATAATAATAGTGCTCCGTAATGGTCTCATTTCATTTAGCAATACAGTTATATACTAAAATGTATTTTTTAGGCTGAAGTTGATAGATTTGAATACTAACTTTAAACGACATCCGTCTATTTGTCGGTGAAATCTTCTCTCTTTTTTAAAAGGGGTGTTAATATTCTTCTGATGGAGTATATGGGTCTAGACCCCAGGACCCACATACTCGGAAGAATAAGAGGCACAACTGTCACTCAGTGGGGCCTCCATCGACCAGAAAGGTATCAACTCAGAACATGGTCCAGAAGCTAGGAGAACCGGGTGTCCCCGTCGGCCGGGTCTCCGTCGGCCATGGCTCCGTCGACCAGACCTTCGTCGGCCACAGAGAGCTCCCAGAACCGAACTTCACACTTAAGCATTTCTACATATTTTGTACTCGGCCCAATAGTGACCCAATTGTAACTGGGCCTCCCAAGCCCAAGACTTGGAAGCCCAACCCTAATTTCTTCTATAAATACTCCCCTTGGGAGTAGTTGTAGGGGATTCACAAATCATTAATAGCAAGAATTTATTGCATTTCTCTCTCTAGCTCTCACCTCTCTCTAGGAGTTAATACTCCATCATTTGGTGCTTTCATTGAGAGCTAGAACAATCAAGCTAGCATCCTTCGTCGCTACCAAGCACAACTAACTGATCATGGGAAGAACTAAGTCCAACTGTAACCTCCTCGGCAAGGCCACCCCTGAGGTCCAAGAGAACAGGGAACACGAGGAGGACGCTACGGCCGACAAGGCCGCATGCGGGGATGTTTTCCAGGAGGCCATCGACCTCACGAATGATCTCCGCCATCAGCTCAACGGCGGCGCGCCTGACGCCTGCCTCATCCTGGAGAAGAAGCGCCCGGAGAAGGGCGACAATGCCTCGGGGCAACCGGCTTCTCCTTCCGTTGACCCTCAGCTCCAAGCCGCGCTCTCGGCCATCATCGCCAGCTTGGCCCAGAAACCCACCGTCCTCAGTGCACTCATGCCAAGGACTGGGGAGAACACTACACCGCCTCCTCAGCCCCAGCCGTTGGCCATCAAGCTAGGCAATGACGAAGGGGTGGTGCCCAAGGACACGTCGTCATCCCACTCCCACCCTGCTTCCCCACTTCAAGCTGGACCGGCCCCAGCACGTGGAAAAGCCTCAGCCTTTAATAGGCTAGGTGACACGCGTCGTCGGCCTGCTTCGGAGAGGATGGCGTGACGGATTGGTGAACGTGAGCCTGACTCACCAAGGGAAAGCTTGGGGTCCGTATCCTAGACAGCGGATCGGCCCCGCCTGGACAAAGGCAAGGGTAAATTGCACGAGGGTGACACACGTCACCAAATCAAAACGGCTCACGCAGCCTGCCTACAGACGCAAGGTGCCACCAAGGCCGCCAAGGACCCCCGGGACGAGGTGATCGCCCAGCTGGAGCTGAGGCTCGCTCAGATGGAGGCCAAATAGCTGGTCGCCACCCCACGGGCAACTCATCCAGGGATCCTGGTTTCAACGCCCTCCTACACAAGGTCAGTGTCCTTGAGAGGGAGTTGGCCGAAGGACGAGGAGACCCCATCGTCCAAGTCAGGACAAGGACTCCGTTCACTGCCAGGGTACTCTCGGTCCCTATCCCCGAGAAGTACAAGGGAAACGCCATCAAGCCCTATGACGGCCGCTCCGACCATCAGGAGCACTTCAGTCGCTATCAGAACAACATGCTGATGGTGAACGCGTCAGACGAATACCTATGTCGTTGGTTCCTTTCCACTCTTGAAGGGCCAATGTATGAGTGGTTCAACGCGCTCCCCGAAGGAAGCATAGACTCATGGCAGGATCTTGCCCAATGCTTCCTCACCCACTTTGCCGGCAGGAAGCGCGCAATGAAATATTTCACCCATCTTCTCTCCGTCAAGCAGCAACACGAAGAATCATTCTGGTCGTTCATCGACCGATGGACGAGAGAGACCGATGAGGTTGAGGGGGCCGATGAGCGAACCCTCATCATCCTCTTCCAGGGCGCCCTCTGCAGCACCCCATATGCGAGGAGTCTCATCACTGACCCTCCAAGGTCCTATACGAAGGCGCTTCAGCGAGGGAACTTATACGCTGACGAGCTCCACAGCCACAAGAAGGACGGAAGGCACCCCTCCATTAAGACAAGTACTGCGCCAGCTCCAGGTGAACCCTCGGCCGGGGACCGAGGTCAGGGAGGACAAAGCCGCCACGGGTATGGCGGACAGAACAATAAGGACCTCCCATGGTGGCCAAGGATGGAAAGGCCGAAGAACCCACTCACTCATTCGGTCAGCTCCATCCTTGATTGAACGAGATCCTCGGTCGGCGAAGGAAATCTACGTCGTCCATCAGGGCGGCACCTACTGCCGTTACCACAGGAACACCTCCCATAACACATACGATTGCATCACGCTGAAGAGAGCCATCGAGAAGCTGATTCGTCAGGAGGAACTCTCCCAATTTGTTAAAGGTGGCCCACACAAAAATATGTGGGTAAACACCAGCAAACATGGGGGAGAACCCTCTACAAAGAAGCGAGAGATCGGCATACTCATCGACGACGATGAAGACTTCGAAGAGCCCCCTCCGAAGAAGAACCATATCCACCTCGTTGTGGGGGGCAACACTGGGGGCGGGGGCTCGGCCACCCAGAGGAAGAAATGGGCCCAATCCCTTTACATTGGGGAGGTGTGCCACGCTCCCCCCAGCCGAAGAAGCAGCGGACAGAGGCGATCACCTTCACTGACAAGAATCTACCTCTAGGCCCCACATCACACAGGGACGCCCTCGTCATCCGGTGCGAGATAGGTAACTCTATCATCCACCGCACTTACATCGACACGGAACCTCCGTCAATGTCATTTACCTTGACACCTTCAAGCAGCTGAAGCTGAACAAGGTCCTGCTCAAGCCGATACGGACACCGTTGTCTGGCTTCACCTGGGACTCTATCGACACCGAAGGCACGATAGTCCTCCCCGTGGAGGTGGGCGACGGCTCCCATCGCGCCAAAATTGACATGGAATTCATGGTGGTCAACCTTGAGTGCGCCCACAACTTGATATGGGGGCGGCCAACACTAGAGGACCTGGAGGCCATCATCTCCATGAAGCACTTGTGCTTGAAGTTCCCCACCAACGGCAGTATCGGCTATGCTAGGGGGAACCAGAAGATAGCCAGAGCATGCTACCTGAAGCTTACGAAGACAGCAGCAAGCGCCGGGAAGAGGATAGACACCATCACCGCCACTGTCGCCAAGGACGAAGTGAGGCCACACGCTGAGCCAGCCGAGGAGGTCGAGGAGTTCCCCTTAGATACCTCTCGGTCGGAGCGAGTCCTAAAAATTAGGAAGCAACTCCCCCAGGACTAGCACAACATCATCCTCAAAGTCCTACGGTCATATGCAATCATTTTTGCGTGGGGGCCGGACGATATGCCTGGCATAAGCCGAAAGGTGATCACTCACCGGCTGCCAGTCGACCTCGCCTCCACGACAGTCAAGCAGAAGCGGCGCTACCTCTCGGCCGACAGATGGGACTTCGTCAAGGGGAGGTCACTATGCTCCTCTCAATCAGCCACATTAAGGAGGTGAAGTACCCAACCTGGCTGGCCAACGTCGTCCTCGCCCAAAAGCCACCAACATTCAGGATGTACGTCACCTACACCGACCTGAACAAGGCGTGCCCTATGGACCCGTTCCCTCTCCCCAACATTGATCAGTTGGTGGACGAGACGGCGGGGTGCGAGTTGATGTCGTTCCTTGACGCCTTCAGGGGGTACCACCAGATCTTCATGCACGAAGATGACGCCGAGAAGACGGTCTTCATGACCCCGGGGGTAATTTTCTACTACCTCGTCATGGCTTTTGGGCTCAAGAACTCAGGCGCCACATACACCAGGATGGTAGCCAAAATCTTCAGAGCAGTCCTCGGTCGGACGATGGAGGCATACATCGACGATATGATCATCAAGAGCAAGCAATCTACCAGCCACACCGACGACCTCCGGGAAATTTTTGGAATCATGAAGAAGTTCCAGCTCCACCTAAACCCCAAGAAGTGCACCTTCAGTGTTTAGGGAGGCAAGTTCC